AAGGTGAATGAAAAATTTTTGTTCTCCCAACTCCACAATTCATGTCCTATTGCAAAATTATCAAGCTAACCAGTTTACGAGTACAGTACTCATTGATTTGTATTAATATAGTGCAAGACATTAATGTTTCAAAATGTATAATGATTGTGTATACCATCAACCGGGGCTACTCGGGACGGTTTTGAGCGTTTTTTGTTAATAACTTCTTACGATGAAACATTTCATAAACAAGTTTAGGCTCATTTTATAGTACCTTTTCGTTCAAAACAAACAGAGTTCATTGAAATTTGACTGAAACTCGTTCCATTGTCTATATATAAAAGAAAACTAAGAGGTAAAATGATAAAATACTATACATAATGCATTGATGGTATTAATGGGAAAAATAATACATTATAGGTACATTCACTGAATATCATGATCGATTTTTCAAGACGAAACTGGAACATGAAAAAGTCTGACCAAATAGATTTATTCAGCAACAAATTACAAGTTCGATAAGATACCATTTAAAACAAAATAGAATATGGCAATGCACTATACAACAGGAGCTAAAAAGTGAAAACATCAGAGTGAAAATCAGTGAAATAATTTCAGACAAATTCATAGAGTAAGAAAAAAAAAATGGCCTCAAAAAAGCCGCCAAAAAAAAGGTAACTGCATACAGGACTTGAAATAATTCATTCATTTTACTCATTCCCTCCTCGCTAGTTCCTGAAATAATTTGTGTAAGCAAGAGAATGAATGAAATTAGCAAATGATATCGTAATACTGACTAAACAGTAACAGAGCTGTAAACTCGAGCCGCCGGAAGTAGTTATTACCGTTCATTTACGTGTTGCATTTCTGAAGCAAACGAGATGCTTCGTCTGACGTCATATTTGCGAGGAAATTTTGCACGTTCAGACAAACTCGCAGCCGGGGAAGGCCATGAATCTTGAGCGATAATAATTGCAATGCAACATATCAGCGTCCACAATGCTGACATGACAAAATATCGTCTTTCAACCGAGAAAAACACTACCCTTTCTTTGTGAGCATTGACGGTGGTAAAAAGTATTCAGGCAGAAAGAAAAAGTAAGCCTCTTTATCTTACGAATACTATAGTTATTGACATAAATAATAAGATGGTTTCAAAACTTGCTTACACGCACAAATGAAAGAAAAATAATAATTTTCATTTATACAGTATAAGATATTCAAAGACATAGGAGGTAGGACACAGTTTTGACAATTTGAAAATCTATTCAATACATATTTTGGAATCTTGCACAAATTATCGCTCACAAGCGCTTTCCTTAGGCTGGTCCAAGGTTCTGAACAAGTTGCGAAAGTTGGCTAGCCAATAAAAAAGCGTAAATGCATGATAATTTCCTTAATAATCATAAATATTAAATGAAAATACTCATCACACATCAACCCTCAATGAGCGAATTATCTCCGAAAATTCAATACTAACTTTAATCCATAATTTGTCGTGTGCCTACACTATCAGAAAAAGACAGAACTCCACAACCAAAGGTTTTTTCTGACACATTTCATTGCAAGGATGCGAAAGATTTGATTAAAATCGTCATCTACAACCAAAAGCTTTCTTTAAATTAATTCATAATTCAAGTTGCGAAGTCACCAATGGAATGTTCAACAAAGCACCGTGATTCGCAAACCTAAAGTTTCCACACATGTCTCGTGTCAAATGATTATTCCTTAGTAGTCGGAATATGGTTGAAAGTGGGATGAGTTTTCTTTTCAGCGTGAAACTGTTCAAGAATCTTCACCTTGAAAATTTGATCAATTTCACGTCACTATATAATGGTGATATATCAAATTCACGAAACTATCATGGTAAGATACGCTTGTTCCAGTGGTAACTTGACCAAACCAAGTAAGCCGACCATATAACACATCAGAATTTTTGCATTATCTTTTTATTTTTATATGAACAAATCAAACCTTAATTTTTAGATAATGTAACATCGAATAATCAGGCTGTTGATCAATGAAAGCTGAGGCTGAACCAGCACCAGACAATAAGAAACAGGCTGACCTAATCAAAATTCAGCAAATTGACGCGCGATTGCAGAAAAACGTCCCGACTGGCGACAGCCATGAGCGATAATCTCAACGTTATAGAGAAGGCGGCAAATGCCAGCAGAACAAATTGAATGGAGAAATTGAGCTTAGCAGGCGATCATCTAAATTCTATATTTGGTAAAAATCGACAAGAGGACTAAACGATCGCAAGATAGTGTTGCTTTAGAAATAGACTTTACGAACGAAAAATCTTACGAATGGTACGGCTTTTGAAATAGGCTTTATGAATTAAAAATATTACGGCACTGGAATCGACTCAAGAAATGAAAAATTGCGTGACTTTTGAAATGGACTTGACGAACGCCACATAAGAACGGCATATTTAATTGACTATAGAAACGCATGATAGAATGGGTTTTAAATTAAAATAGACTTGACTAACTCCAAAGAAGAGCGCATTTTTTCATATATAATATTTGCGAACGTAAAATAGAATGAGTTATGGAATTGACTTAATGAACGATGTAGTCTATTGCTTCGTGATAAACTCGAACACGATAAAACGGACGATGGAATAGACTACCTATATGAATACCAATAAAACGGATTTTCTCATAAACTGCACAAAGGTAAAACAGAATAAGTTTTAGAATAATTTAAGAAAGCCGCAATTAATCGGCTTTTCCACGAACTATCCGATAGCTAAAATGAAACTGTTTTGAAATAGTATTCACGAAAGCTCCAATAAAACGGCTTTAGAACATGACTGTACAACTGCAAGGATAGAACGCAGCAAGAGAATTATAGAACTCGCGATAAAATTTACGTAACCCCAACGTAGTTGAATTTAAGAAAGCTACTAGAACAGAAAAGTTTCGAGTCTGAATGTACGATCGCCAGAATAGAACAATGTTCAGGAATTATGAGATTCTATTCTACAGTTCTAGAACGGCATTCGTGATTGATTTTACGAACGCCAGAATTGAACGGCTCTTGGAATTTAAATGCGAAACGAACGACCATAATAATTTTTGGATTGAATTTACAATTGGCAGACAAATAAAATTTCCCTTTCAAATTAATTAATGCCAGACTAGAAAGACTTTTGTTGCTTAATTCACGACTGCTAGAATAGAAAGGATTTCGAACAGACTTAATGAAGACCGAGTAATACTGCTATATCAATAAGTTTTGCTAATATGAGATTTAAAACTAATTAGCGGATGGCTTGAATGAATGCAAGAATAATTGGCCTATTGAGATAGACTGAACTGATATCAGTTTCATCACGATGACTTTTTAAATACATTTGTTGCGAGCGAATATATGGAAGGGGTGAGCATACGAATAAATTAATAATAACAAAGATGCAAGGTTGCAGCTTCGGTATTGCCTATTCTATCGTGGAAAACATATTTATATACATGAATTCATAACTACAGCCATGAACTGAAGAAACGATACTAACAAATGTCAGAGCGTAGATAAATTCATGACGAATAAATTCAGAGCTACTCCAACAGACATCAAATGCATCAATAGCGAACAGATTAATTACAAAATTGGGACTGAATTGAGAGATGTTATGGGTTGAACATCGCAAAAAATGAGAAGATGTTATAGGTTTAATTCATCAGTGATTACGAAAGAGAACATAAATATGCTCACCAGAAAATCCAGACGTCAATTTAGGAGAAATTCTTTATAAGGTCATTGCCCGAGATCTTAAAAGCACGTCTCACCAGCAATGGCAGCAACGAACTGAGGCTAATTAATGCCCGGCAGCATACAATGTAGCCGCTCCAAGCAGTGGCACTACACGCAACAAGTGGCACTACACGAAACAAGTGGCACTACACGCAACAAGTGGCACTACACGAAACAAGTGGCACTACACGCAACAAGTGGCACTGACACTACACGCAACAAGTGGCACTGACACTACACGCAACAAGTGGCACTACACGCAACAAGTGGCACTTCACTATACAGGCGGTTCCCTAATTCTAAAGAGATCGGAAACCCCTTTACATGTCTCGTACAATCGTCGCGTACCACTAATCCTACACATTACCCGCCATGTGTAGGATCAGTCGCATTTTAGCTCAAATAATGCGGTGATAATTAGCACATCAGAGACGGTGAGCCGCTGTGACCAGGTGGGTGGCGTGTGGTAACAGTGGTAAATAACTTTACCTTGCGGAGGTACACATTTTTGTGCAGAAAATAATTACATACTAATATCGTTCATTATAAAACTGTTGGCGTACCACTTGTTCGACATTGTCGTTATTTAACCCATTCGTGCCTTGCAACACCATTCTAGCACAACATATTTAATACATAAACTAAAACATAGTATGAATGTACCCTTGACTACGAATACCTTCACTTTGTCATTGTTTTCATTTCTGACGCGGGCAGCTAACAAGAGTTACTACCTATTAGCAAACTCTAATCCAAATTGAAAAAATGGTCTCCAAATTTCCAGGCCTTTTTTGTTCTGGGATGGGTCATCCTGACAAAATTTATCCTGGCAACAAGGCGTGTCAGCACTATATGCAGAAAGTGTACTAGTATTTAAACAATATAACCCATTATTTTGTTTTAAGTGTTGTTTTCAATTATACTCATTGACAATGACCCAAGAATGAATTTTATTAAAATTTTCAAGAAGGCAAACAATTTTTCAGGTAATCTTGTAGGATTCCCTGAAAATTATAATAAAATGCATTCTTTGGTCATTAATTGCAAGTGAATGATTAAAACCTACACTTAGAAAAATTATTGCAGTATTATATGGTTCAAATAGTGATACACTATCAGCCCTAAGCACTGATGCGCACTTTGCCGGGCTGATGTATGTATCTGCACGTGTATTTTTTTGTTTGTATGTACTCGCACGTGTTTAAATAAACAAGCAACTTCATCCATCAAAATATAAGTTATAGTTACACGTGACTAACCTGAAATACGGCGTGCGAGCGGGAGCTCTCGGCGTTGGCGTCGGTGGGATGCTGCGTTCTGTTGCGGTTGCCTTCCGCCAGAAGCTCCATGAGGTGGTCGGCGTCACGGGGCTTGTGGTATGACAGTCCTGGTACCAGCACTTGCTGGCCTGCCTCCTGAACCTGGCAACGTGCACCACGTACATTGTCATTAATTAATTAAATCATTTAAAGGATCAACTGTACGGCACCAGCACTTGCTGACCTGCCTCCTGAACCTGGCAACGTGCACCACATACATTGACCTTAATTAATTAAATCATTTGTAGGATCAACAGTAGATGAAGTATGAAAACCACATCAACGGCATCGACGTGCTGCACTAGTTCTTCACACCTGATAAGTAAAATATGTAATTCTGAATCATATTTCTCGTCACAAACAAGTGATCATCTACTGAAAGCTGATGTAATGTAATGCAAACAAGGGTTTATTTCTTTCCCTCATTGTTCACAAAGCTGAAACGTCACACTCTTATCATAATGACATCAATTCTAAGGTCAGCAGCTAAACATTTATTTGTGACCTGAAAGTTGTACGTTGCATTAACAAACGTAGCACAACGGTAGCAGCAACAATCTTTCTGTAAAGATCACTAGATAGACGGCAGCTGGAATGAGAAGTCAACTCTGATTTGCCAGTGATGAAACTCACAGTTAGTTCATCTAGTCGGATAAGAGCCATGTTAGAAACTAATAGCAAAGCATGCTCATTAGTTACAAACTATGATCAAAATCAAGCAATAGTTTTCAGCTCTCACTTGCAAAGGTTTGCCAGGCTGCAGCAAGTCTCTGACTGTCTCATTATAGACCTCCAGATACGACACGGCAACTTCAACACTGGAGCCAGGGTTCTCTGCCTCCATGGCGTCAATGCGGGCATAGAGCTCCATGAGAGTGAGCAGGGTGATGCCCGGGCAGTCCTGCCGCCCCACCATTGTAAATGTCTTGCCTGCACTACTTCAACACTGGAGCCAGGGTTCTCTGCCTCCATGGCGTCAATGCGGGCATAGAGCTCCATGAGAGTGAGCAGGGTGATGCCCGGGCAGTCCTGACGCCCCACCATTGTAAATGTCTTGCCTGCACCCGTTGCTCCGTACGCAAAAACTGTGGATTTTAAATGTTGTGAGTATTTTGTTACGAATTGTTTTCATCAAAACAAAAGAAGGCTTAAACTGCAGTTAGACTTATATTTCATAGAAGATTCTAGAACTAGGAAATTTCACAATAGCTTCCTATCCAAGGAGTAGACAAAGATTATGGGAAATATTGAACTTTTAGAAATATCTTTATGAAAATTTTTTATTGAATAATCGAGACTAGAATATAATTATTGCAGTTGCAGTCATTCTACTAACCAGAACAGTTGTATCCCTCAAGTAGAGTGTCAATAAGGTCTTTGGTGGTTGTCTCAAATATGTCTTGATTGGTTGACTCAGGACCAAAGACTCTTTCAAACACAAACTTTTGGTCTTTGTGTTGCCGCTTTGTTACGTCTCTCCTTTGTTTCACACCATGATAAAAAAATATGTCTTCCTCCTTCTTTGGATCAAACACAAGCATGTGTTCATCCACCAGCTCAATCACAGTCCTGTAGGGAAAATAACATATTAGTTTAAGACAGACCTGTAAGAAAAATAACATGTTAGTCTAAGACAGTCCTGTAGGAAAATTAACATATTAGTCTAAGACAGTCCTGTAGGAAAAATAACATTGAGTCCTATAGGAAAATTTAGCTTTCAGTTCTTACCCACTTGAAATTGTAAATAGATAGGTTTTGCTGCTTAGGTTTAGGTTTTTTGTAATCTTGACTGTACTAATTACTGATTTATCTGCGTTCTAGAACTTTTAAACTGATGACGGAGTTGGACTCTGAAACGTTTCCTTAAAAGATACTAGTATGAATTTTTGTGAAGTTTTTTTTTGCTTTCAAATTTTTAGAAAAATAACATGTTAGTTTAAGACAGTCCTGTAGGAAATATAATACTGTCAGGTGGGGTGACTCCAGCCACCACTACAGCAGAAACAAATGGCAGCAAAACAAAATAATAAACATTGGCCAAAGTGACAGGGGTGGCTTTGGCCACCAAGGTGACTTTGGCCAATGTTTATCATTTAGCTTTGCTCAATTGCTGCCATTTGTTTCTGTTGTAGTGGTGGCCAAAGTCACCCTCAGTGGCCGAAATCACCCCACTTAATAGTATATTAGTTTAAGGAAATGAGTTAAACTTATTCAAGAGCATGGTTAAGTAAATGATATCAAACAAAATCAATTGTCCCACAAAAGCAAGTCAGGCAAAGGAGTCAGTCAGAAGGCCAACTTACTTGGCATTATTTTCCTGCTCCCTGGCATTGAGTGGCCGCACCCTCACCACAACCTTCAGGTTTGCCTTGGATGCTGCCCCAAAGAGAACATTGCCTGATGGGGATGTGGCAGTTTGTGGGACTTTGGATAATTGTTTTAGAGACTGTACGAGTGCTCGTCGGTTCAAGGTTTGGCTAGTGCGGCGAGGGGACTTGGACCAGCTTTGCCTCCGCAGCGTCATCTTGTCTGAAGGCTAAGTTTTTTCCCCCTAACAAGATAAGTCTTAAAAGTATTGTTCAAACCTAACTGGCTAACTATGCAGTCAAGAAGCCTTAAAAATAATTCACATAGTCTGAAAAAAATATAGTTAATTGCAGTAGAAATAATCTCGCCAGCACCAATTAAGCAGCAAAATTTGAGATTTTAGTCTCCTGAACAATTCATTCAACTTGATGAATGAATTACCTCTTGTACGTATATAGGAATACTAGCATGATAACTTTTGATGTTCTGCCAAGCTATATATATATACATACATATACTGATATTCTAAACAAATCAAATTGATAATTTAGGAAACCTTCCAGTGAAGCAAGCAATTTTAATTTACATTTTTGTCAAGTGATGTTCTTCATTAAAGACCATCCACTCATTTGACTCTTCCAATAAAACTTGTCTCCTGTCAAATATAAAGCAGACAATATTTTTCCCTCAGATTAATTAACGCTCATCATTTATAGTACCTATATGTTAAGCTGATTTAAATGCTTAAATTAGCTATACTAGACAAGTGTTTTGATGGCAAGTCATAGAGACCCACCACGGACCCTTGTTAGTGTTTGTGGCTTCCTTTTAATGCTTTGGTACCGTAAATCACTAATTATCAAGCCCTCGTTCCATCCACAACATCACCACCCATCATGTCCAAAAATTAAATTATGAGCATTTAAATAAAAGTAATGACTAGGACAATGAAATTTATGTTCTTTTTGCATTTTCTTAAATTGCAGAAGTATCAATATATACGTATTTCATTATTTAATGTAACTTGATTGAATTTAATTAAATTAAATTTTTATATTATTAACCATTTCATTTGAATGAAGTAAATTTTAATTATGAATAACATATTTCATGCAGTGACTGCTTTTGATAAATTCTTCATGTGTGATTTAAGCCTCCAATACACAAAATTTTTAAAATACACATAAATAAATAACGTATTTTATATAATACTTCTTAATGTCTAGAAATTGTTTCTGAAATTTCAATTTCTGAATATTTCAATGCTCGCCTGCAAGAGAGCTAATTTGAGTGACATGTGTTAGGATATGAACAAAAAAAACTTGACTATGACAAGAAGTCAAGAACATTTTTATTTTCGAGAAATTTCTATCATCTACTTGAGAAGATATTTTTTTGAGCATGACAGGAGAGAGGGAAACTGTGGAGCATCTGATTATGGAGTGTGATGCATATGAGAGGGAGAGACTGGAAATGCTGAGAGTAATTCTGGATGAAAGAGATGAGGGTGATGGTGTGATGTATGAGGGATCAGGAGACAAATGGATTGCAATGATAGTGGGCCTGTCAATGGGGTGTCTGCTGTTATGACTGAGAGTGGAAAGCAATTTTTGGAGGGTGCATGGAGAATGAGGGAGAGGAGAAGGATGGTGAGATTGGAAGGCAAAAAAGCAATAATAAAATAAGAAAAAGTATTAAGTCAATAATTTAATAGAAAACAAAGTCATTCGGGGCCTAAGGGGTTCCATAGCTAATATATATCATAAATGTAAACCATCCAGTGCAATAAATTGGATATAACAATAACAAACTGAATAAATTTCCTTTTGAATTTCTTTTCCCCTTGTTTTCATCTTACCCTAACACAAACTTTCACACCCCTCTAGCCTCTCCTTCAATGTCACTTCTACCAGGCTTGGTCTTCATTTTTCCTGCCTCCAAACCAAATGAATATGTAATAACAAAAGTGAGTCAAATAATAAAAGTGAGTCTAATAATAAAAGTGAGTCAAATAATAAAAGTGAGTCAAATAATAAATGTGAGTCAAATAATAAAAGTGAGTCAAATAATAAATGTGAGTTAAATAATAAAAGTGAGTCAAATAATAAAAGTGAGTCAAATAATGAAAGTGAGTCACAGCACATAAGTGAGTCACAGCACAAAATTGAGTCACAACACAAAAGTGAGTCACAGTACAAAAGTGAGTAACAGAACAAAAGTGAATCACAGCACAAAAGCGAGTCAAAGAATGAAAGTGAGTCACAGCACAAAAGTGAGTCACAGCACAAAAGTGAGTCAAAGAATAAAAGTGAGTAACAGCACAAATGTGAGTCAAGGAATGAAAGTGAGTCACAGCACATCAGTGAGTCAAATAACGAAAGTGACTCACAGCACAAAAGTGAGTCAAAGAATGAAAGCGTGTCATGAAGAATTATTTGCTCATAGTTCAAGCCCTGACCTCACCCTAGTGAGTAATTCTTGCCTCATTCACGATTTTGAGCAGTGGTGAATTACGCAAGTATATGCAAGTTATATTGCATTTACAATAAGTGGAGTGGCAAAACTTCACAAAAGAAAGGAACATAATGCGTGCACTAATTTTATTCTCAACTTGACGGCTAACAATTCTTTACAGAAACTAGAAACAAATGTTCACGGTCAAATCAAAATAACAAGACTGTCTCCGATAGAGACAAGGCTCCACTTACATTTCATATTATTTTACTATAATTTATAAACAGTGTGGAGTGGAAACTAGAATGTCCAATTGAAGACAGTTTACTACAGGAGGAACGTACAATCTTTCAGGTATTTGCAAGCCTTTTGGTCTCGTGTGAAAAGTGGAGTGAATAGACAGTTTGACAATTCTCCTTGCCCTGTACTCCAGATGACCAAATTATTCTGAGGAAGGTCTTGTAGATGGAAATGGCAATTTAAACTATATTGAAAGATGAAGACAGAAATTATAGTTCCCATTGCAAGCCAATGGGAAAAAGGGTGGCTGATGGCACTCAAGGTGGCTGATGAAGATCCTGCAAAGATGTTGATGTAAGGTTGACCGTCAAGGTGGCTGATGATGCTCCAAAGACGTCAATATCTTGAGCTGGAAGGCCCTCCTTACAAAGGTTACAGCCTGGCTTCACATCAGTACCCAGGCTACATATCATTTATCAATCATTTACTATCATTTTAATATCATTTACCATAAATTACTCATCATTTATCTATCACTCAGCTATCAGCCTATCATTTATTTATAATTTTCAAATATTTATTTATCATTTACTACCTATCAAACCAAGCATGGAAAACATCTTTCTTCAGGCCGCAACTAGAGCTTTCCTGCCATTTCTAGAACCGCAAGATTCCCGCCAGATGAATTAGCCCTACCTCCTCCTAGCCTATCTAATTGTTAACAAAAGTTCACCATCGGGTTGCAAGTTTCCAAATTATTAAAAATTCATCATGCCTACCATACCCAGGATGATGCCGTTTTCCGCAGATTAATCCGGCGTATACAAGGCTCTGAGAACTAGCCCTGGCGTACGCCTTGGCGTAAATCAGGAATAATTTGTGTGCTTGGGGTACACCCCCGGCAGACATCAGGAAAAATTTGTGCACTTGGCGCAGACACCCGACGTACATCAGGAAAAATGTCGGCGCTGCCAGCCTGCGGCGTATGGCGGTACCGCCACTACCTCGTACAATACAGGCGTTATACATTTCTAGGGCTGCAAGCGCAGGGCATGGTAGTACAAATAGAAATTGTTAGCCAACACATGAATTTCTTAAAAAAATATAGATACACTTATGGTATATAAGATTTTAAATGTTTTAATACTTTTTTTCATTTCAGATTCTGTGGCCCATTATAGATGCCGAAACACACTAGCCCTAATGTTGGCTGGGGACAAAACAAAGTCCGATGTCCACTGCTGCGATTGGAGAATCTCTGCTCTACACATCGCCTTTATTGAACCACTACAAAGTACAAGCAGCTGTATCTTGCAGGAAGTATTATCATCTTTTATTCGATTAAATTAAATTTATAAGAAATTATGTTGATATTTCCTCTTTCCTTCACGTAATTAGTGAGAATCAAATTTTTAGTTTATAAAAAAAAACTAGATAATGCATTATGAAGTGCGCAAGCGGTAATGGATCAATCTATCAAATGCTCCTTGATCGCAAAGGGTGCCAAATTGGCATAGAGCTAGAAAAATATTTTGATAATAAAAATAGTTACGTTTGTTGAAAATTTGTAACACGTGAGAAGAAGTAGCTTTGAGAAGAAGGGCATCAATCAACTACGTAGAAACACTGATCTGGTTACAGTCACTTGTTTAACAGTTAAATTTTTTTTATCATGCAGGCTGAACTCACCATCCTCCCAGATTCCATTAGACAATCTTAAATTAAGAAAAACGACATAGCGCGTATGAGTCACCACCTCTGAGTAGACCATGATTGCAAAGTGTAAATTGGGTGACAATTATCTGCACCAATAGTACGATTCTCCGGCCAGTCTTCAGATTCCTAGTAGGCTAGTAGGCCCAAAATATTTTCCAGACCACGGAACAGATTCCGATTAAACCAATTGACTGTTGACATATATTTATAGGCTTTCAATGACAATTCCGT